GTTCAAGGGAAAATAAAAGAAATAAAGCTCAAGCAACCAATATCAGTAATTAAAATGAAACATCATTATATATTCTAAATAGAGTAAAAAGATAATAAGGGGATAGTATGAAAAATCTTTGCACATTTTGTAAGAGGAACACATTTCCTTACATTTTGGGGACAGTGAGGCAGATTCGGAGAAAGAATGAGTTTGTAGACTGGCAGGAGTGTGCATCCATGTGGGGCTGATGCAAACCCTGGAGCTGTGCAAACTAAATCAGGGGGGAGAAGTTTGAAGGAAAGGAAGGGATGTGCAAAGCAGGGTGGGAGGAAATGTGCATACCGTTGGAAGAGACTTTCTAAGGAAGAGGGATGTTGTGCCAGAAAAAAACAAGTCTTCCCAGGAATTCAGCTCAGGAGGAATTATGAAGCTTTTTGACTGATATTAATATAGTCAAATCAATCAATCCTTTTCTTTGTAGTTTAAGATTTCTATAACTTATTTGCCACTGTTCATTTGTCAGTTTGTCATAGTATGGTGGCTTGCATGTTGCTATGATGCCAGAAACTATGCCCCTGGAATTTCAAATGCCAGCAGAGTTACCCATGGTGGACAAGTTTCAGTGGACCTTCAAGACTAAGACAGATTGGAAAGGACCTGGCAATCTACTTCTGAAGAAACTGGCCAATGAAAACTTATGACTAGCAGTGGGACATTGTTTGATACAGTGTGAGAAGATGAATCTCACAGTTTGGAAGGCACTCAGATACATACTGGCTATAACCTTGTGATCAAACATAGCAATTATTTTTAGGGTGGTACAGGAAAAGACAGTATTTGATTCTATTGTACATAGGATCAGCAGAAATTAGAACTGACTTGACAGAACCTAACAACAACAGGAAAGAACTTATTTAAGAAATCATTGCCTTGATAAGACTATGAAGATGTTGTTTTTCCTTTCATAGCTGGGTCTCAATTATTTGGAAGGATGTTTGTGGATGATGTGACATAGTGATCACATTTCATTTATTCCACTTGAGAAATTAATTATTGCAACACTATGTATTGAAAAATTTCTTTGTTCATTGACTTGCAATGCCAGCTTTGTTTTTGACAAAGGGTCCATATGTATTTGGTCTGTTATTGATGCTATTAGTCTACATATTTCTCCTTGTACAAATACCACACTTCCTTATATACTTAAGATTTATATTGTATCTTGATAGACAGTAGGGAAGGTCTTCATATCTTGTCTTTTTTCTTCAGGAATGTTCTTGGTATTGTTGGTGTTTTACATTTCTATATAAATTTTTTAATGATCTTACTGATTCCCACAAAAAAATCCTGTTAAAATTTTAATTGAGATGATTCTAAACATGGCGATAAAAGATAGACATAAAAGGTATAATTTATATTTCTATAATTTTGAATCTTGCAATCCAAAAGTAATTGTCATCTTCCAATTATTTGTCTTTTTAAAATTCTCAGTAATATTATGAAAAATGAGTAGGTATACTATACATCTTTTTAAATATTTTTCTAGTATTTTATTTATTAATGCTATTCTAAGTATATTTATAAAATAATAGTTTTCCAGTATTACTGATATATAAAAATGCAATTGAATTTTCCATGTTGACCACATAAAAAAATGCTTAATTCAAATAGTTTTTATCTTGATCCCAAAATAAAATAAGCCATCTTGAAACATACATTAACTAACAGATGGCTTGAGTCTAGAATATTTTAAAATTCCCAGCCTATCAATTAGAGAAAAAGCCTAGGCTCCTGGACAGGTCTCCATACAAGAGATCTCTAAATGAATTATCAACTTATGAGAATCTGGTTAATCTCACAATGAGATTCCTAAGACATACCATCAGAATGGCTAAAGTTGAAAAGACATAAAATACTAAGTGTATGCATAAATGTGGAGTAATTGGAATGCACATTTTTTGTACGAGTGTGAGTTGGTACAACTACTATGACACATTGGTAGTATTTACTAAAATTGAACAGGTGCATACTCTATGGCAGAGAATACCAATCCAAGGCAAATCCCAAGACAAATCTCTACATAAGTTCTCTTACTCACTAAAAGACATACAAAAATATTCATAACAGCATTATTTATAAAAGACAAAAATTAGAAGCAACCCAAATGTCCATCAACTCTACAATGGATAAATTATGTCATGGTCATAAAATAAAATACAATGAATGCAGTAATAAAGGTTGTACTCCATTGTGACACCATGAATGAATCTCAAACTCATGTTCAGAGAATACAGGCAGAAACAAGATAAACAATGCTGCAGGATCATTTGTAAGTAGTTCACAAACAATGAAAAAAATGGTTACATGAGGGACAGGAAAAAGTATTATATAGAAAGGGATTTATGGATTCTTCTAGAGTGTTCCTTATGTTTCATTTCTTGATTAACTGTTTCACTTTGTAATAATTCATCAGTTTATAAACTCTTTGCCTTTTTGTATGTAAGATCATTTATTTTTAAAAAAATTATAGCTCCTCATAAAACTTCAGATTATCTTATGGCAGAAACAAGAAAACAACTCGACTTTAGGGGAATAGAAGAACAGAATTTAGATGTCATTGCAATTTTGCCTAGATCTAACTAATACTGAAAGAGCAGAGAGGCAAAAACAACTCCTTTAGAATTATCTCCTGGGACAATTCATCTTTGGGAAGTACGACACCTGATATTAATATTAATCTCCATGATGTGCGAACTCAGTCCCTAAGTTCAGGGTCCTGTGCCCTTTGCAGTCTCTTTGGAGTTGATGATCTTCAGGGATCTCCACTTAAATAAAGACCCCTCCATTCAGCACACAAGCACTGACCTGTCATTTCAAGGTATAGCAGTTTGCACTTAATGGCTGAAATATCCTTTTCATATTCAAATGCGGTTATCAGTATATAAAAACTTCTTTTCATGCCTCCATTTTATACCCACACCAGTATGATTTGTCATGCCTCTGATTCTTTTAACAATAAATTGAGATTATGTTTTAAAATCTGATGTTAATCTAGGTCAGCGAGACAATATGGTACACAGGTTTAAATTTTGTTTTCTAGTGAAATAAAATGCTTCCACAAGCTTGAAATGAACATACTCTCATAAAGAAGGAACCAGTTCATGACTGTGAATTGACCTTACATGGCATTTTTTCTGGAATGGGTAAAGTTGCAAATGGCAAGCTTCATTAAAGAGAGTAGGAGAGAGACATGAGTCTTCCTTTATATTATTCTTTTGGCAGGAAAAAAAAAAAGAATATGTTTTAGGGTACCATAGCTAAATGGATAGAAATTGATAGTGAATGAATGGAAAAAAAGTTATTGTATGGATGTGTGTATTTGTCTTTGTGTGTATAGACACATATGGATATAATTGTGAGTGCATTTGGTAGAATTTGAAAAAAAATATAAACTAGTTTTTTCTCTAAGATCCCTTTCATAATCTCTTTTTACTACATTACTCTCCTTACACTATTTTGAAGGACCCCTCCTGGTGTAACAGTTAAAGTGCTTGGCTATTAACTGCAAAGTTGACAGTTCAAATCCACCAGCAGCTCTGTGGAAGAAAAGATCTGGTGAACTGCTTCCATAAAGATTACAGCCTAGGAAACCCTATGGGCCAGTTCTCTGTTCCATAGGCTACTTTGAGTTGGAAATGACTCCACAGCACACAATTGCACCAACTCCATTTGAGGGAGTACGAATGACCTCATACTATTACTAGATGTCTAAACCTTTACTTGACCCTTCCCTTGACCTCATTTCATTTCCACTGAATTCTACTTAGTATATTTTTTACATAAAAACTTAAACTAATATAAGGGACTAATTGTTAAGAATTGTCTAATATATTTTATTTCCATGATGATTTTCAACAAGTAATTTAACAATTTCAGGATATGCAATTATTAGGATAGAATTTTAAGACCTGAATTATTTTTGTTAATGATATGTAGAAAATATCTATTTGTCCTAATATGAGGTACATTTATGGTCTTAGGGTGTATTCTTTGTGTCAGTGAACATATTTATAAACGTGCACTTTTAAAGATGATTGGACTTGTACAAGCCCATTAAGAGTCTCGGTACTTTTAATCTTCTAGAAGGTAAAACTCTGGGTGGGTTTGATGAACATTGGAACAGCCTCTTTCATCCAACTAAAATTACTTCCTTTCCCTGACACTCATTCACTCCATTCAGATACAACATGCCCTTCATTCAACCCAAAGGGTTATTCTGAATGCATGACATGGATTTCTATCACTAGTAAGCTGGTGGAATAAATGAGTTAATGAATTCGTAAAGGAAACACATTTTTTTATATTATGTATGTGCATAATGATTATACATTGCAATGTTTAGATACAATTGTTTATATTGTTAAGTTCAATAGACAAATGTTTGCCATTACATAGGGAAAAAAATAATGCTCTCTGTAGTCTCTAGCAGCTGGCTGTCATTCATATAAGGAACATCTTTGAAACAAGTTCCCATCTCAAAATTTATGGTTGAAGAATGGAAATCATTATATATATTACTCACATGTACTGAATATCTATATTACTGAGTTCCCCCATTTAATTTGAATGACTTGTCATAAGCCATAAATTAATTACAAATATTTTATTCCTCTGGCCTTCTCTTTTTCATCTCCTTTTTGTTGTGTTGTACGTGTGTGTGTGAGAGAGAGAGAGAGAGAGAGAAATTATATCTCAGCTTCTAATAGTTATCTTTCAAGAAAATGCTTTGCTTTCATAATTAGACACCATGTGCCTCTCTGTTTTGTGTCTTCTTCTTAACATCGTCTTCTGAAGGAAAATGTGTCAAAATTTATTCTGTGGTTCACTGTGATTTCTCTCAAGGTTAGTATCTCAAACAGTTATTTTAAAGATTGATACTATGACCAAAGGCTAACAATTTTCCTTCTCTCCAAATTCTTAAAATGTTTTCCTCCCTTTTTCTGTGCAGGGCAATGGGAATGACCAATAGCAGTTTCAAAGGAGACATCATCCTGGTGGGCTTCTCTGACCAACCCCAAGTGGAAAAGATACTTTTTGTGGTTATCTTGGTGTCCTACCTCCTTACACTTGTGGGAAATACAGTTATTATTCTGATTTCCTTCACAGACCCCAAACTTAAAACACCCATGTACTTTTTCCTTACTCATCTCTCACTAGTTGATATTTGCTTTAGCACCAGCATTGTCCCCCAGCTGTTGTGGAATCTAAGAGGACCAGCCAAGACCATCACGTTCCCGGGCTGTGCTATCCAGCTCTATGTCTCCCTGTCCTTGGGCTCCACTGAGTGTGTTCTCCTGGCTGTGATGGCTTTTGATCGTTATGCTGCTGTTTGCAAACCCCTCCACTACTCAGCTGTGATGAACCCACGGCTTTGCCAAGCTCTGGCAGGAGTTGCATGGCTGAGTGGAATGGGAAATGCTTTCATTCAGGGTACTGTCACCCTCTGGCTGCCTCGCTGTGGACATCACTGGCTGTACCATTTCTTCTGTGAGGTACCCTCTATGATTAAGCTTGCCTGTGTGGACATCCATGCCAATGAGGTCCAGCTCTTTGTGGCTTCACTGGTCTTGCTCCTTCTGCCCTTATCACTGATATTAATGTCCTATGGCGGTATTGTCAGGGAAATCATCAGGATTGGGTCAGTCCAGGCCTGGAACAAAGCCCTGGGGACATGTGGCTCTCACTTGATGGTAGTGTCTTTCTTCTATGGGACCATCACTGCTGTCTATATCCAACCCAACAGCTCTTATGCCCATACTAAAGGGAAATTCATCTCGCTCTTCTATACAGTAGTGACTCCTACCCTTAATCCTGTCATTTACACGCTAAGAAATAAAGATATGAACGGAGCACTGAGAAGACTACTTCACAGACACTCTTATAAAAAAAAAATGAAGCAAAATACATGGTGGTAAATTTTTATCACAAAAATAAATCCTGAAGATCTTGTACAATGTTTCATTCAAGAACTTTTCCAAAATCTAAGGAATAAATGTGATCCTCCCTCTCCACGTTGCTGTATTTCACTTTTTTCAGAACTTTCTATCCTCTTGGAACTCTTCCCCAGGATTCTTTTGGGCACTATATAAGGCACTGTATTCTCAAAATAACTAACTCTCTGTTATTTATATCATTTCTCCTTCTCTCTCTTCCTGTGCTTTTCTTTGTCCTTCCTTCTCTGTTTACTTCCTTCCTTCCTTCCCCTATTTCTACCTTCTTTTCTTTCATACTATTACTTCATCATTTTCCTTCTTTTACAACATCTGCATGATAGGCTTAACAAACATTTTCATTGTTGTTTCTTCATTATATTCCTCCACATCAATAGTCTAATAATTCCTGAAAACAAATATCTCCAAAGAAAACTTCCTATTTATCACACTAAAAATATTTCATATGGCTTGTAAGGTACGGTGAACAGATTTATCTGAAAAACTGACTTTCAGTCCTACAATTTCCTTTTTTGATCTTGAGTAAGCTTTTATGTAGCTTTTTCTTTTTTGCATTGTTACCTTATGAATTAAATAAAAAACGAATTTTATTCTTATCTTGATTGAAAAATTTAAAAGTTAATGTAAGAAAAGGCATCTGACTGCTAACCAGAAGGCTAGTGGTTCAAATCCACCAGCCCCTCCTTGGAAGGAAAGTTGGGCAATCTACTTCCATACTGATACTGCCTCAAAAATCAAAGGAGGGGTCCCTATGAGTTGGATCTGACTCGACGACAGTGAGTTTGGTTTGGTTTGGTTAAGAAGTGATCATAAATATTAAGTTACAGCCTTTCAATCTTGAACTTATTTGGCTATAGTATTCCCACTACTTTGATCTAATATATTCCCATTACATTCAATTGTATTCAAGAAAAATTCTTACCTCGTCAATAATTAGTTCCCCCCAGCTCGGGTGACATGGTGCCTAAGTCATTTGACTGCTAACCAGAGGCTGGTGGTTCAAACCCACCAGCCACTCTGAGGAAGGAAGATTGGGCAATCCACTTCAGTAGAGATACCTCCTGGGAAACCCAACTAAGGGTTGCTCTGAGTCAGAACTGACTAGATGGCAGTGAAAGCAAAAGCAAATATGTTTGTATCTAAATGGGGGGGGGGGAATCACCTGAAAATAGGGGGAAGAGAATTAATCTTTGTTCCATCTTTGTAATGTGTAAAACCATTTTCTATACTCACTATAGAAAGTGAAGCACATTTTCATATACTGGTAGTAACAGAGTAATGTTATGTAATGATGGTGGTGTAATTTCCAAAAGGTCAAATACCATAGAGTTATGGTAAAGAGTCACATGTGACGTGAAGATATAGGACTCTACATCCTGTCTTCCTAATTTACTTACCAGCAGGGAGCTCTGGTAATGTAGTGCCTAAGGCACTTAATTGCTAACCAGAAGGCTGGTGGTTCAAACCCACCAGCCACTTCTCAGAAGGAAAGTTGGGCAATCTACTTCCGTAGTGATACTTCCTTGGAAGTATCACTAGCAGGGTTGCTATTGGTCAGGTCCTGACTCCATAACACATAACAACAACAACAACAACATAATCATAGGAAAGTTATTTAACCTCTTTGAACCTCTGTTTCTCCCTATTTAAAATGAGGAGTGCCCCCTCCCACCACCAAAGGTTTATAGTGTATATTCTAGGAGATAGTTAAAAGTCATAAAGAAAGAATTCAATAAATGTCAGTTATTTTTATTATATTCTCTTGATTTTTTAAATAAATATGAAGTAGGACTCCTGGAGGCGCAGTAGTTAAGTGCTCAGCAGCTAACTGGAAGGTAAATGGTTCAAATTTAACAGCTGCTTTGCAGAAGGAAGTTGTGACAGTCTGTTTCTGTAAAGATTTACAGCTTTTGAAGTCCTATGGAGCAGTTCTGTTCTGTTGTATAGGGTCGCTATGAGTCAAAATCAACTTGATGGCAATTAATTTTTTTTTTTTGAAGTATGTTGTCATATGGTGGACCCTTGATAGCAAATCTCTCCTACCAAGAGATGCCTTGAAAGGAAAGACTGACAATCTACTTCCAAAAGGCCACAGCCTTGAAAACTCTATGGAGTGCAGTTCTACTCTGCACTCATTGAGTCACCAGGAGATCATGAGTCAGAATCTACACCACAGCAAGTTGTTTTTTGTTTTCCAAAGTTCACTTGAGAAGAAAGACCTGATAATATATTTCAGAAAACAGCTAAGAAAACCCTGTGGATCACATAGTCTAATGCCAAAAGTTTAGGAGGATGGTGCAAGACCAGGCAGTGTTTTTTCGTGTTGTGCATTGAGTCCCCATTAGTTGGGTGTGACTCTATAGAAGCTAACAAAAACAATTTTACTTGTGATAATCAAATGAGTCCCTTTTGGTGCCTGGCCAAATATGTTTCCTAGTTGTTTGATTCAAATACATTATTTTTCATAAACAAGCCAATACTAATTATTCTACTGTGGTCTAATTATTTTTAACTCAACTATAATATTTGACTTTTGCTTTGATTTCTGTGCTTTCCCATTCCCGGAGTCTAAAGGAAAATGTATTCTTCCCCTTAATATAGAGCTTAAAGTCTTAACAAATATATCCTTATCAAAACATGAAGCTTGCTCCAATTTTATTCATATTGTTTACCTCCCACCAACTGGATTCACCTGTTATTACCCAAATGAGATGAGAATTCAATTGCCAAAGTTGTTCTGAAAAGTTGTACCAGCATGATCCATTACTCACCTGTATCATCATCCACATTTCTGTTTTCCCTCATATTTAATTTTTATTAACCTCAAATAATCTATTCCCTCAATTTTCCTAAAAGTCACCCTTTTCCATTTTTACAACATTACTTGCTGATTTCCTTAAAAGTAGAAAAAATTATTTTAAAATCAATGAATAATAAGTTTATATGAGAGAAAATAATATTTATTTTGAGAACAGCCCTCAAACTACACTTTTATGTATATATCTCCTATAACTGAAAACAAGTATTCAAACAAATCTTTATATATAATTCAAGCAGCACTATTCATAATAGCTAAAACGTGGAAAAAGTTCAAATGTTCAACAACAGATGAATGCATAAACAAAATGTAGTACATCCATACAACATGAAATATTTGGTCATAATAATATATGAAGTACTGATTTCTGCTACAACATAGATGAACCTCAGAAAACATTATACTAAGCAACACCTCCTTGGATTTCCAAAGCATTATCTCTACAGAAGTAGATTGCCCAATCTTCCTTCCGAGAAGTGGCTGGTGGGTTTGAACCACAGCCTTCTGATAGAAATCAATGCCTTAGACACAATGTCTCCAGAGCTCCCAAATATAATTCCAAATCTAAATCCACTGCAGTTGAGTCAGATCTAACTCATAGCAACCCCTCTTTGGGTTTCCAAGGTGGTATCACTACAGAAGTAGATTGCCCAACCTTTCTTCTGAGGAGTGGCTGGTGGGTTTGAACAGCCAGCCTTCTGGTTAGCAGTCAAATGCCTTAGGCAGTACGTCACCAGAGCTCCCCTGAGCAAGAGAGTAAAGAAAATTAAAGAAACAAGGAAATAATTACTCCAAAGGATTGAAGGACCATGTGAACTCCAGCCTCCATGACCCTGAGACAAGAGGAACTAGATGGTGCCCAACTACCATTCCTGAGTACTCTGAAAGTGATCACAATAGGAAGTCCCAGCAGGGTGGGAGAAAAATATGGAATAAACCTCAAAATCATAGAAAAGACAAGGCTTACTAGTCTGAGGAAGACTGGAGGAACCCCAGAGACTGTGATCTTTAGACACCCTTCAACCTGGGAACTTATCTCAAATCCCATGACTCAACTTTCAGACAAATGATAGACAGGCCTATGAAGAGAACAATAACACCAGGAAGATATGCACTCACTTGCGTCAACCATACAAGATCAGAAGGGCAGCATTTGCTCAGGGATAAAGCTAAGAAGGCAGGAAAAAGTAGGAAAGAAGGAAAAGGGAAATGGTAAAGACAGTGATGAAGTGGGAAAAGTGCTGCTACATTGTGGAGATCGCAATGAATGTCACAAAACAAAATTTCTGTGAATTGTCAAATGGAAAACCACATTGCTCAATAAAATCTCACCTAAATCACAATGTAAAAAAATAAATAAATCAGTGAACAAAAATTTCAAAACAGGCAAAATTATGTAAGTTATCATAATGAACGAAGGGCTTGAATTCAGAATTTTTAAATATGTACTACCTAATAACAGAAGGGGATAAAAAGCCAGGAGCCTGGTCAGAAGAGCAGTCAGCCCCAGGCTTACAGGTGAGGAGAGACAACTCACGGATGCCCGAAATAGCAAGCGGGAAGAGCAGGAGAAAGGGGATTAAAAGCCAGGAAGGCAGAGAGAAGAGCAGTCAGCTGAAGGGATTAGGTGAGGAGGGGCAACTCAGGCCCGCCCAGAGTAGCAGGCTGGAAGAGCAGGAGGAAGGGGATAAAAAGCCAGGAACCCAGACAGAAGTGCAGTCAGCCCCAGG